ACAAAGTAAGAGGGTCCCTGTTCAGGCACCACTTCTTGTAATGATGAGGCAGTCGAGTTGTTTGATCATGAACAACTGATGATGATGATCTTTATTGGAGTCTAGTCTTGAATCTATATACATTTTTAGTTATCCTCCATCATTGGTTAACTTTGGTTACTGCTTAACTTTCGTTACTGTTTAGTACAGTAATCCATACAATTAATTATCTCTAGTTAAAGTCTAACATATGTCTACTTCCCCACTCTAATCCTCCTTTATCCATAGATTAGTGACTTTGTTTGCCTGAGTTTTTTTGCTTGGAAACATTCTTTATCTGAGGTTTGCCATCCGAGATTGGAACATTCCTGCATTTACAACTCTACATAACGGAACTGTTCTATTAGATTAAAAAAACAGCAGTGTTTCTTCCATTACATTGGATGAGATTTTCTTTATTCAGTATAATATTTTAACTCCAATTATCTATAGTTTGAAAAATAAAAAAGTGAAGAGGGCATTTGGAAGATATATGCAAGAAAAATTAAATGATTGAATTTAGTTTTGCTTATCATTATCCCAATATTTTGAATTGGATCTAAATTTAATTCTTGTTTAGAGTAGCACAATTCTCTTTTTTTTAAAGGACTACAAACTCTAATTCTAATCTTTGATGAGTTTGGATATAATTCATTAAACTCATTCTTTATGAGAGGAGGTTTAAAATGAGTGTATTTCTAGCTCATTCTCTTCCCCCTCCCATATGTGTTTACATATGTGTACAAGATAAGATCGCTTCCTACTGCTGCATGCATGTCCTTCACTAAGTCTAAGTCTTTTCACTTTTAAATGTTTTTATAGCATTTTCCCCACATGATTCCTTATACTGATAATGGTGATGATGATTATGATAATGATGATGATGATTTAATAATAGTAACAGTTACATGATGATAAAATGCTTTAAAAAGGCATGTTCATTATTGCTCAAAGAATGGCTACAGATTTGCTGAAAGATTTACACCAGAATTTATTATATTCAACACAACTAAAAACACAATGTTGCAAGCCAATCAAGACAAAAAAAAAATGCTACAAAACAGACAGAAGATATTAGAAACACCAATCAAGCAGAACACAGCAAACTCCAAGACCAATAAACACAGACCAAGACTCCCAACCAATCAGGATGAAGAAAAAACCATTCTGGCACAGCAGTAGGCTAGCCCCAAATTTAAAATTGAAACGGCTGTGAAAGTCTGACACACAGACGAACGCAATACAGAAGCCTGATGATGGCAGATGAGATTCTGCCGAAACGTTGCTACAACTTTAAAAGCACAACTATAATGACGTGGGAATATACCCGAACAAAGCTGAATACCATACATACATACATACATACATACATACATACATACATACATACATACACTTCTACCTCAAATTATATATATTTTTCAAAAGAATCACTCTATTTCTTTCATTCATATTCTCAACTAGAATGAAGACACAGCTTTTGTCAAGAAACCAATTAGAGGCATACATACCCTTTACTCTTTTTGAAGGTGTGTGCAATCTAAAATTTTCAGAAACATATTTCAAGCCCCACAATATATTTGAAATGAGGTCTAATGCCATAAAATCTAGCATCACACATATACATGCTTATGTGATATTGTTTTATCTGCTAAAGGAGCTGCCAATAATGTATTGGTTTCTACTCATAAAGCACAACGGTCCTTTTTTAAAAAAGAGACAACCAGACTTTCTGTTTTTTCTTAGAAGATGTTTTGCTTCTTGGATGAGAAGCAAAATGTCTTCAATGAAATACCAGAAAGTCCAGTTGCCTCTTGAAAAAAAAAGCACCTTTGGAACAACCATGATGACTGAGCATCTCCATAGACATATTCATAAAGCCCTTTATATCCCAGACCCTAAATATCTTAGAGACCATTTTTTTGCAAATTGTTCAAGTACAACTTATTTGAATAATTATGATGCATATAAAGGGAGGGCCCCCAACAATGGGTGTTCCACCTAGCATCTCCTCTATTTAGAAATAGTTAATCCTCAAAGTAAGGATGGGCCTCACTAATGACTTTCTGGAAGCAGGAGAAAACATTAAGAACCTTAGTGTCATACTAAATGTTAATAAATTTTAATAATGATTTTGAATATTTAAATTGTGAACATGATTGTGGAATTTTTGTGTTTTATTTCATTTTCTGAAATCTACAGTTTTACACTATAAATTCTGCTAGTCATTTAAAGGGTTGCAGGTGTCAAGCAGTAACCATATTCCATTTTATATTAGGGAATGAATGAAATGGGATAAAATATTTTATTTTCCTAAAGTTTTATAACCAACTTGAAATAAAATCTGGCATTCCATTTCACATTAAGTTCAAAAACATTGAGATCTCAAAATAAATCTTTACTACTGTATCTTTTAAACTAAGGCCATAACTAAGGAAATAAATAAGCACTACCTATTAAAGAACTTGAAAAAATAGACTGCAAACACAAAAAGAAAGAAAATGAAGAGTGAGAAAGGAAATAAAAATAACAGAACAACAGAATTGGTAAATGCCTTGGAGGTTTTATAGTCCAACCATCTGCTCAAGCAGGAGACCCTATATTATTTCAGACAATGATTGTCTTCTTTAAAACCTCAAGTTTATGGAGGAGACTATGATGGTGGAGGAGGAGGAGTTTACTGTATGTTTGTAGTATACTGCACAGAAAGAAAAGTCATGGCATTCTTGAAATAAACTTCCTGTATTGCATATGAATTATACTTTTTTAACAATAGCCATGATGTAAATGCTTATAAGATAAAATCTGAATTTATCAACTATTGTGCTATCCATTATTTTAGTGTGACAGTCCTTATCATTGTGTTATCCTAGTTTTCTAGTGACTCATCACATAAATACATTTAGCAATAACACAGCAATATTTTTCTAGATTTCAAAATCTCTCTTTTCCCCTCATCTTTCCAATCGTGGACTATTCAAGTACCAGCTGATATTTCTATTCAAGTACCAGCTAATAAGTGATACCTATGTTGAGAAAAGGGATTTTTTCAAAAGGAAGAAAGTATATAAATCCATGCTGATAAATGTATTAATGTTGTCACCAAAAAAAATCAATCTTGTTAAAAAAAATATTGGCAAAATATACACAAAAGTGAAATGGCAAACAGATGAACGTTTACAAAAAAGGACAACTATAACTGTGAAACAACATTAAACCATGAATCCAATCCGACTGGTTCTGCAACATTATACTGGGATATGTATATTTGCCTTTATTAACATTGAATCATGGCTTTGAAATCCCCTAGAGTTTACCCTTATATCTCCTATATAGATGGGAACCACATCATCTCTTTTCAGTCTTCTGGTAGCACTGGGGAAGTACCAGAGGACTGGAAAAGAGCTGATGTGGTTGCCATCTTCAAAAAAGGGGAAAAAACAGACCCAGGAAGCTACAGACCAATTAGCCTAACACCAGCACCCAGGAAGATACTGGAAAAGATAATAATAATAATAAAAAAAAACAGATCTGTCAACATCTAGAAACAAGTAAAGTAATAACTAGCAGTCAGCATGGATTTGTTAAAAACAGATCATGCCAAACCAATTTTATTTCATTCTTCAACATAGTGACTAAATTAGTAGGCCAGCTAAATGCTGTGGACATAATATATTTAGATTTCAGCAAGGCATTTGAAAAGTAGACCACAACCTACTTCTTGGTAAGCTAGAAAAAAGTGGAATAGATACCAGATAGACTCACAACTGGCTGACAAACTGTACTCAACAAGGAGTCCTTAATGGGTCTAAATCTACATGGAGGGAAGTAAGCAGTGGGGTGCCACAAGGTTCTGTCTCAGGCCCAGTACTCTTCAATATCTTCATTAATGACTTAGATGACAGAATAGAAGGGAATTTATCAAATTTGCAAATGATACTAAGCTGGCAGGTATAGTTAACACCCAAGAAGATAGGATCAAGATCTAGATGGATCTTGACAGACTAGAACACTGGGCCATATCTAACAAAATGAAATTCAGTGTAGAGAAAGGTAAAGTCCTACACTTAGGCAAGAAAAACCAAAAATACACATATGGATTGGGTAAAACTAGGCTCAATAGCAATAACAGCGAGAGGGATCTTGGAGTCTTAGTGGACAACCAGCTAAATATGAGTCAGCAGTGTGCAGCAGCAGCAGCCAAAAAAGCTAATGCAATCCTAAATTGCATTAACAGAAGTATACAATTGAGATCAAGTGAGGTACTAATACCACTCTATAAAGCCTTAGTAAGACCACACCTAGAGTACTGTATCCAGTTTTGGTCACTATATTATAAAAAAGATGTTGAGACTCTAGAAAAAGTACAGAGAAGAGCAATCAGGGTGATTAGAGACTGGAGACTAAAACATATGAAGAACGGTTATAGGAACTGGGCTTGGCTAGTCAAGTGAAGAGAAGGACCAGGGGAGACATGATAGCAGTCTTCCAATATTTGAGGGGCTGCCACAGAGAGGAGGGGTCAACCTGTTTTCCAAAGCACCTGTAGGCCAGACAAGGAATAATGGATGGAAACTGAACAAGGAGAGATTTAACTTGGAAATAAGGAGAAACTTTCTGACAGTGAGAACAATCAACCAATGGAACAGCTTGCCCTTGGAAGTTGTGGGAGCGTCATCACTTGAGACTTTCAAGAAGACTCAAATGGACTGCCATTTGTCAGAAATAGTGTAGGTTTCCTGCTTGCGTGGGGGGTGGGACTAGATGACCTACAAGTCCCTTCCAACTCTGATTGTCTGTTATCTGTTATCCTAGATATAAATTGAAGCTTTTCAAATGTTAATGAAGTTTATAAGTGGTAAAACCATATTCTCTTTTCTTACCCCCTTTCCACCTCTTTACATATGCAAACACAAAAATAACATACAGGTAAATAGAGACTCATCTTTAAAGTATCCATATGTAACTGAATATAAGTTAGATCAAGTATTTATTTTTTGCTTAAACATTCCTTTAAGTGCTCTCTTCATTTCCTTATTTTTCAGACTATAAATAATTGGATTCAGCATTGGGGTCAAAATGTTATATTGAACAGAGATAATCTCATCTAGTGTAATAGAAGAAACATTGCTGGGTTTCATGTACTGGGACATTCCTGTCATGTATTGTAAGCCTACCACAATGAGATGGGAACTGCATGTAGAGAAAGCTTTACTTCTGCCTTCTGCAGAATGGATCTTCATGATGGTGGAGATGATATGAATGTAGGAGACCAATGTTGGTGAGAAGGAACCAAGTCCACATATAGCAGCAAAAGACAAAAGGATCACATTACTTAGAAAAGTGTCAGAACATGATGCTTTCAATAATGGTGGAAGCTCACAGCTGAAGTGATTAATTTCACGGAGGCCACAGAAATGTAATTTAAAAATGGGCACTGTGTTTATTGTTGCAGATAGCAAGCCTATTAGCCATGCTCCTAAAACCAAGTAAGTGCATATTGCTTTATTCATGATCATTATGTAGTGAAGTGGGTGACACACAGCAGCGTATCTATCATATGCCATTGCTGACAATAGGAAAACCTCTGTAACACCCAGTAGAAGGGTACAAAACATTTGTAAAATGCAGAAAGTGAAGGAAATAGTATTTTGCTTCATAAGAAAATTCATTAACATTTTAGGAACAATATTAGTTGAATAACACATATCAACAAAGGACAAATGAGATAAAAAATAGTACATGGGTACTGAGAGAGAAGGGTCTATTCTGATTATCTGAATGATTATGATATTTTCTGACACTGTGATGAGAAAAATAATTGAAAAGATCAAGAAGAGCCAGTTCTGTAGTTGAGGATCACTGGAAAGTCCAAGCAAAATAAAGTCAGTTTGGTTTTCCATTTCTGCTTATTCATCTGTAAAACAAGAATAAACATACAAGTAAAGATCGCTAACCAGTGTGAAAGCTCACTATAGTTCCTAAAATTAAAATAACCAGAGCTGTCTTAACACATTGGCCTGATGGGCACTTGCCTGTGGGCCCCATGAGCATAGGGGCCCCATCCTAATCTGTGTAACTTAACCCTTCAATGCACTTTGTATCATATAAATAAAGCAACATATTTATAAGTTTTACTGCATTTTAAAATAATATTAACATGCAAATATATGTTTAATTTTATTGACCATTTACATTTTTATTTCTGTAAGTAGTTGTCATAGAGGCCTCAGTACACTGTTTTGCCCGTGTCCCATAATACTGTTAAGATGGCCCTGAAAATAACCATGTATAATTTTAGCTGTCACTGCTTAGTATTATTTTCAAAATGTTCAAATGTAGTGAGTGTGCTGAATTGGAACATAGAGCCTAGAATTTAATAGTTTATATCAGAATGATTCAATGAGTTAATATGGAAAAAGGATATTTTAAAATCAGAATGCATGAAAGTTGCCATGCACTGGTGCCCTATTAGTTTTAAGAGATAGGTATTTCCCAATTAGTTTACTTGTAATTAAATAGGAACATTCAGGTGGTTTAAGAATTGTCACTATTTCAGAAACCAGCTTGTTATTATGAAGATTCTTGAAGATAGAGGGAGGAAAGGAAAGAAGGCAGAAAAGATGCACTTACCTTTTAAAGCGAACTTTTAAATATGAAGAGAGCAAATACCCCAAAGTTAAAGTCACTTATTTAGATGAGTTTTTAATTAATCAAAACAAACCTTTGTTCTTTCCATAAGGCAGAAAGTATTCTGAGCATAATATTACCTGTTTTCTATAAGAGCAATATTCTACTGCTTAAAAAAGAATTATTCCAGAAGGGAAAATACTCCCACTTGAAATTTCTTGCCAATAATAATCACAAGTTAGTAATACACCTACTTCTCTAGTAATACCCCACAAATTCTATCATAAAAAGCTACCTGTGTTGCAAGAGTAAAATGTGACTAACATAAGCAGGAGGAACACTTCTCTGGGATGAATGGAGCTTTGGGTATATTAAGACACTGAGTTGAGGAAAATGAATCAACTCCTTTCACATCAGGCAGACAAGACATACAAGATCAATAGATTCCCAAAGGAGCAAATGGTTAAGGGATTTCTTGTGTGCTCACAGAGAGTTATCAAAAGAAGAGAGGAACAATACCACTACATTTCATTCTCATAACCCACAATCTATTTCCTTTGGGAACTTATGAGAAGAGGAATATTCTGAAGAGGAGAGTGATGTAATGGAATTTGTGGATGACCTCAGAAAACAAGGGGAAGAGATGCTGCCTCAGACAAAAGAGGAAGAACACACACACACACACACACACACCGACTTAATTGTCAGAAAAAGAACCTAAGGAAGGATTTGCCTTAATGGATCAAGCAGTTAAAAGTGTCAATGGGAAGTTTTTACTTTCAGACTTGTAGGATTCTGCTACTTTAGCCTTAACATAAAGTAGAATTAGCTCATTGAGTCTTATTTCCTTCCTGGTTTACCTAGGAGGACTGATAATCAAATGATCAGATCCAGTTTTGTGGATTTCCAGATTCATTGTATTTTTATGAAACACTAGTGCAATTTAAGTTTATAATTGTAAAAAAGAATTCAGTTACGAAACATAATAATAAAGAAGAATAGAAACAAAAGTAAAATATGCATTGGGGAAAAAAGGAAGAATAGAAATAAAAAATAAGAAAAGAGTAAAAAAAAAACTAAATGTATAAAAAAGTGTTCCAACCTCCATCACAATAAATATAAATAATTTCAGTAACTTTACTCTTTTTAATTTATAACCAATAGTCCCTTCGTCCCATCTTCCATCTCTGATCTATAAACAAATCCTTTAAAAAAAATCATTAATTCAAAACAGGTGTTAAAAGCCTAGTAAGAATTGCCAGAAATAACAACATATCTATTTTAACCTTAATCAAATAAGCCAATTTTATATTCCTTAATTTTACTTCTATTGTAAATGTTTAACTGTTAATCCATTCAAGTAATGTTATAGAACTTGATTTCTTTATATTCCTTTTTTATCCCTTAGCCAAGACTTATTCAAGCTTTAATAACAAAACTATTTGTTATTAAACTATTTGTTATTTAACAAAACTATTTGTTATTTGACAAAACTATTTTTATAAATCCAGTATAATTATCTAGGTTACTCTGATTGCTTTATTATTTGTAATTCTCTTTTTAAAGCATCAATCAATTTCTTTTAGATATCCAATAACATATATTTTTCTATGTCATTTTTGTAGCCTGACATTTGTAGGTCTATTTTCAGGGTCAACTTTTCTATCTTGTTAAATAAGACTTATTTCTCTTCTGCGGATTCTTCTGAAACATCTTTTGGACACAATCTGTTCATAGAAGCAAACATCACTGTTGTCATTGCAGACATTAACTTCTTATTCTGAATGCACTGCAATGCAGAGAAGTGGAAATGGTTGTGGCTTCCTGGTTAAAAAAAAAAAAAAAGCTTCTGGAAGACTAAAGATTAAGAAAGTCAGCTAACTAGCGGTACTCTCCCAATAAAGCGAAAGGGGATAAAGTGCATTGAAACTTGAATGATTACCAGGTAGATCAAACTAGGAAACTGAGGCCATATAGGTTCCAACTGGCATATTGGTCCAGTTATGATTGTCGAAATGAGCAGCTCAGATCTTTATTTCTTTTCTTTTTCTAAATCTGGAGGCAAAATTGTAAGGTTTAGTAATCTTGGAAAATAATCCAAACTAGAATGAAACAAATCTTTAAAAGTTTAATTCACATTTCAGTTAGTGATGCTAAATCATGCATTCCTTCAAAGTATAGTGAATTAGTTTATTACATGCTATGTTCTGCAAGAATACACTATGCCTTTTAGTGGAAAGGATATTTTATACTTTATATGGAACAATGACTCACTTAGCTACTGGAGTAAGCTTTGATACCTAACTTTGTTTACATTTAACATAGATATAATTCAAATTTGAATACATTCCTGTATTACAAGTGAATACATGGCATTATGCCATATATAAAATGTTTGTCTTTGCATATATTCTATGTTTTAATTGTATCGGATTTCTAAATAGAATATGCCTAGAAGTGTGAATACGTTTTATTAGAATTAGTCTAATTTTGTGATTTATCCTATGCAGACTGTGGCTGCTGATAATAATACTTTCCTTGAAGCTTAACAGCATTGTTTGTACTTTTAAAATGATGTGATTAATTAAGTTATTTGCAATCAATTAATTATATACTGGAAAATTAGAATTTCTTTGTAACACCATTGTTTATTCATTTTACTTTACTCTTTTTTTCTTTTGTTCCTTCCACTTTCAAGCTTAAATATTTTTCCTAAATTGCCTAATAAACTAATAAAAATTATAAAGTTTATACTTTTTGTACTGATATTTATTTCATTAAAATGAAAGAAAAAACATGATTTTGATGATTTTCAAAGAAAAATATGAATAAAAGTATTTATATATGTATGTGTTTGTGTATGTATATGTGTGCATGCATGCAAAAGGATCACATTACTTAGAATGTCAGAACATGATGCTTTCAATAATGGTGGAAGCTCACAGCCGAAGTGATTAATTTCATGGAGGCCACAGAAGTGTACCGTATTTGCCGGCGTATAAGACAACTTTTTTGCCCTGAAAAACATGCCTCCAAGTGGGGGGGTCGTCTTATACGGCGAGTATATAACAAAGGTCGTCTTATACGCCGGCAAATACGTTGTTGTCACTCGGTGCAAGAGCGACGGGGGCGGAGCTCCGCAACTTGCGAAGCCCCTTCAAGCCCAGCCGGAGTCTCTCTTCCTCCTCCTCCCCCACCCACCCACTCCGCTCGTGCGAGCGGACAGGCAGGCTCCAGGCTTTTCCCCCATCCCTCACCTCCTTCCATCCCCCTCCACCCCCCCCCAGTGGCAGAAACTTCGCCGCACGTGGGGACGAGTGGAGGGGGTGGGAGAGCAGCGACGCAGCTCAAAGCTGAGAAAGCGCCATCCTTGCTTTTGTGCTTCGGGAAGAGTTCGTGTTTTTTGTTTTTTTGTTTTTCTCCCAGGAATGGGATGCTGCTCATGCGATTTTCTTTGGGAATTTTTCTCTTCCCGGTTTCAGCCTTTGCTCCGAATCCTCCCCCCCCCATTCACTTCTGGAAAGGATGCTTGTGTAACTCTTTTCCTAAGCGTTGCTGGGGTGGAGGGGGGGGCAGTGTGCAGCGTGAGCGAGAGGCTCTTTTCCTTTCTCCCTGAGCGCAAAACCGTCTGCCTTCTTCTCTCTTGGACGGACCGAGCAAGGCTAATAAGATAATAATAAGATAATAAGATAAGATCCTAAGCGCGTTGTGGAAACAGATCTGGATCTCATTGGAGAAAGGTAGCAAATGAATGAACTGGACTTTTGGCAAGTCTCGGGGTAGGAATTAGATGCTTTCTGGAAAGTTAGTGAGCAGGAAAATAGACATCCTTTCCGCTTTCTCCCAGCGTGGGTATTTCATTATCCCTCCCTGTAAGAAGTAACAACCACAAAGCCAAGGGAAAAAACGATGCGCAGGAAAAAGCCACAGTAGGAAGCAAAGATTTCTCCCCCCCCCCTCTCTCTGAAATAATTAATGTCGCAATCAGTGTGGTGCACCCTTGGAGACAAATTGGTTGGGGAGGTGGAAAGATATTAAGAAACAACTCGACTGTTTTTCGTCCAGTTTTATTTTTATTTATTTATTTTCCCCTGAAAAAAGCAGATCGCTCAATGGTGTCACAAAGAAAGGGAGAGGAATTGAGTGCCAGCCTGAGAAAGGCGAAGCTGCCTCTCTAAAGCATTTTGGTGGCTTTGTAAGTTTGGGGGAAAGGGGCGGGGGTGTCAATCAAGAATTATATCCAGAATACCCCAAGTGTTACAACTTAGCGTAT